AATTTAAAATAAACATTTGCATTTGAATGTTAAGTGTGCATCAGGGACCGTGAGATGCGGTGATAATGATGTAAGTGATGTTGTTGAATTTTAATGTTTTGTTAGTCTAGCCCACGAGACGTGCCGCTGCTGTGTTATTCATTCAAAATATTAGAGAAATATAGAAGCTCAATACCTAGAAGAACTTGAATGGGTTAAAACCGAAACCAAGCCATTCACACAGAACGCATATTCAGTGCATTTTCTAGACGGACAAATACGACTGCTGCACTCGCGTCTCACAGAAGAGATTTATAGAAAGCCATGCAAAGTTAAAACAGTTTAAACTTTTAGAAGACACGTCACCAAGCATAAGGAAAATAGAAGAAGAAAAGCATTTGTCCTGATTCCTCTTCTGTGGCGCTGATCAGTCCTGAATAAATAAATCCTGCCCATTGTCAGACTGCATTTGTGAACTTACAGACCCACATGATTTAGAGGGCAAAACGGCAACCTGTCAACAAGCCTTTCTGAGAAACACAGTCGCTTATCGGGCCTGTCATCAGACTATTGTGTGCATGGCAGGAGCGGATCTGTCTAATCCATACGAATAAATCAAAGTCAGTCTCACACCCGCTGCTTTAGAGGGCAGGAAGGAAAGGCTTTCTTACATTTATATTGGCTTTTCTGCCAGGTTTCCTCATTTTAAGAATTGCGTGGAAGGACTTTATTTCGTTGTGGATGTGTGTTGATACTATGAGAGGGGGAGGGGGGTGGGGGGTGTTCCAGTAGGTGGTGAACTGGTGACACGTGTCAGAAAAATAAATGGAGTCGAGCATTTTATTTCTGCGTCATTTCCCGTGGTAATGTTCTGCACGGAGACTTCAAGAACTACACACACACACACACATCTATCAGTCCAGCTGAATGAACACACTAAAATTGGAATTAATCACAGCGCAAAACGGCACTAATGCTGATGAATAAAGTTATGAATTCATGCTGTGACATGTTTTATTTAGATGCCAGGAGGCAGAAATGAAGTATAAAAGATCCAAGTTTCTGCTCACTTCAGTTTCCAACCAGCAGTTAATATTCCTGTCATTAGTCAATTGTCTTTATACACAATAAACAGCTGTTTATGAGCAGTTCTTCACCAATTTAGCCATTAAAAGAAGGGCTTTTTCATTCAAAAAGTGACAAACTACAGCAGTAGTCTCTGAAGTAAATGTCTTGCTTAAGGGCCTAATGGTGATAGTTAACAGATCAGCCTGTGTAGAATCAAACCTTTTAATTACCAGCTAAGATCCTTATCCACTAGGCGACATCACTCCTGTTGTGATGAGAGATCATAAATTACTCCTCCTCATTACTGGCTTAGAAGTTTAGGAATAGTTCAGGCAAAAATAAGAAATTCTGTCATTTCCTCACTCTAGCCCATTTTGGTTATGAGACATGCGGGAACCAATGAAAACGAGTACTGTACATTTTGTTCCTCAAACCAAAATAACTACTGTATGATTTCAGAAGACTTTGAAAATACCACACAACTCTAATGGACCACTATTATAGCGCTTTATCAGAAGCTTCCATCGTTCATTGAACCACTAGACTACCAGCACTATATCTCTAACATGCTTTACCTTTCATATACTGCAGATGAAAACTGGCCTCTAAGCAGACCACCCACAAGCAATAAAACAGTGGAAATCTGCTGCAAACACTCGCATAAATCAAAATATGTGCTTCATTTGGTTAAGAAACTTATTTGTGAGAACGGGGTGAGTAATTTAATTTCAATTTGGCACCTCATTATAAATGCTTTCTTCTTTAAATTGAGATCCGTGCTGACACCGAGGTGCAACCTGACGTCCGTGACATCTGCAGACAGAATCCGTGCGCTCCCTGACAAAAGCCAATTAAAGCAAGTTTTTGTGCAATGCAGGGGCTTTTGTTTGGAGACGGTGTCAAGAGCATCTGCTAGTTACAGGGACATCTGATTTTGACAATTTGCTCATTTCCAACCACGGCAGCTTTTTGCTTCCTCTAAACTGTTTGTGATGCTTTTATTCCCCAAACAAAACATCAGCGAGACATGAAGTGTCAGTCTAACGGAGACTTGTGACTCATTGGGGTATTTTTGAACATGTGGAATGGAACTAATTCCTCTGATATTCTTTTTTTCCAACTCTGCGTTTCTAAATTGCTGCACTGACACAAGCCCTTGCCATAAAAAGTGAGTCACAATGGAGGAACAGCCAATCAGACTCTGGAGGTTGAATATAATTAAAAGTATGATGGACAAAAGACACAAAGTGAGAACTTTCTCTGTACTTTCGGATCTCTTGGTCACATCAGCATGACTGAGGAGTGTAAGAGAGCTCTACTCACTGCAATACTGTGATTGAACCCAGAACCCGGCTGAGGGCTGGCAGCACTGATGTAATTTCCCACTGCCGAGTCCTGACTGCTGGGGCCGTACAAGTCTGCCACGGGTCCAGGACTGTTTGCACCAGGGAAACCTCCAGGCCGTGGAGGGTTAGCACCTGTGCAAGACACACATCAGATTACTGATAAATCATATTTCAGTCACTAACATGGCCACTAAGGTGGAGAGAGATAGCTTCTATCAGAGAGTGTAACATGGGACAGAATATGTACACTACTGTTCAAAAGTTTAAGGACAGTACAATTTTTATTTATTAATGTAATTGATAATATAAATTATCAATTGATATTTTACTCCGTAAGGATTCAATAAATTGATCAAAAGTCACAGCAGTGACACACCTCTAATGTTACAAAAAATTTCTAATAGATGCTGTTCTTTTGACCGTTCTATTCAAAGAATCAGTATCCACAAAAATATTCTTATATCTAATAATAATAATAATAATAGTTTATTTAGGAACAAATCAGCATTTTAAAATGATTTCTGAAAGATCCTGTGACACTAAAGGCTATAGAGTAATGGCTGCTGAAAATTCAGCTTTGCCATCGCAGGAATAAATTACATTTTAAAATATATTAGAACAGAACAGTTCCTTTAAATTATAATGGTATTTCACAATATTGACGTTTTGCTGTATTTTTTTTTTTTTAAATAAATGCAACCTTCATGAGCATAAGAGACTTCTTTCAAACACACAAAAAAAATCTTACTGACCCCGAACTTTTGAACGTTAATGCATGACACGTTACTTGCACGGTACTGTATTGTATAATGTTCATTAAATATGTAAAAAAAAAATGTGTTAAAAGTGAATGTGTTAAAATGCTAAATAACACTGTCAGGGGCTGTTCAAACAGGACATGTTGTGTTTTTTTAATTGGACTATGCAGACTACATGAATAAGTATAAGTATAATAAGTACACGACCCCCCCGTAATGATAAAGATCCACCCAGTGTTTTTTTAATCTCGTTAAATCATTTCCCCTTTCTCAAATCAAGCCATTCTCAGATACCTGTCTGTGTGAGGTCACACAGAGCCAGCCCCTCCCACGATTGTTGACTGACACTGGCGTCTTACCTTAGACCCGCCCTGAGTGAGCGGTCATCAGTCCGCCATTGTTTCAACGCCGGAGCAATAGACAAGAATGGCTCCTAAGCGATTGAGGTGTTTTGTGTGTAACGAACATAGCAGTCGTCATTTACTCTCGACATCTGAGCCGCTGCAGACGGAGTGGATTACCTTTATTTTTTAAGGGAATGCGCCCCCGATCTACCTAAATGTGTTTATGTTCGCGTGAATCATTCATGATCCAAAAGTGAGAATAAGGTTCTTTTATGAATCTTTGCAAATCGCCTTTCCTAATAACGTGCTAGTTAGCAAGTTCCGCGGCTAAAGTAAACGGTCTCATGAGAACGGCTCATCACCCCATGGAAAAGAGGGGCGGGGTGAGTAGAGCTCATTAGCATTTAAAAGAACATGCACTAAAACGGCTTGCTGAAAACAGAGCTGATTTTGACAAGTTAAAAGGGTGTTTTTTTACACTACCATTGAGAAATTAACCAAAGTATGTTATAGACTTTTCATTAAGACCCTAAAGAATCATATTAACTTGTGGAAAATGGGCATCCGATGACCCCTTTAAGACACCTGAATTCTTTTAAGCTCTTTCCTATATTTGATCGTCACATCACAATGATTCTAATTCTTAGTTTTGCATGATGATATGATGAATGGATGGTTCATTTATAACAGCAGATTCAGTGACGTTAGAGACCAGAGCTGATCTGCTGCGCATCACGGCATGCATTAAAGCCTGTGTTACGGCCACCGGAGCTGATCACGGCTGGTTTGGTGTTTATACCGGCCGTGCCGCAGCCCAGAACTCATGCTGATCACAATGGTCACATCACATCGCGCAGCATGTGTCCGGTGTAGAATAGAACCCATTATAATCAGTTATGTTGTCTACACTGGACACCTGAATTCTTTTAAGCTCTTTCTGTTTTTAAATACAAAATTGTCCTGTATGAACTAGGGGTTGCACCGACTAATCGACTAGTCGACTTCAATGCTCTGCCATGACGCTTTAAGCTTGACGTCGACTAGTCGCTGGTCCTATAGAGGGCGCAACAGGATAAGAAATCTTTGAAGGACTTCCACATTTACGCTCCGTTTCCAAACAGTTCAAATGACTATAATATAGCCTACACAAAGAATATCAGCCGATATATCGATATCAGCCTTTTTTTACTCCCTAAAATCGGTATCGGCCCCCAAAAAAACCATATCGGTCGGGCTCTAGTATAAATCAGATGGAGGACAGAATTATTATGATGCACAAAGTGAGGTAATGACGTCACGCACTGTATTGACCTTTATATTAGACTTAGTCTTACTTATTTACTAAAACCCCCTCACATTCATCATTTTACTATCAAAGATGGTCTGACTGCAGAAGGTTCATAAAGAATTTATACATGTAAGTATATATAGAAATAAATATTTAGTTTAGCTATATTTTTTAACACTGTGGTTTTCAGTTAAGTCACATAGATTGTGTTAATGATGACAGACAGCATTAACTAACTCTCTGGCTGCCTCTGGACGTGCTTCCCGTGTCTTATCTGAGTGCAATGGCTTTCCTCGCTTTCACAGTCATTTTATGTGTGTACTGTAATCTTTAGTCCATATAATTGCTGGATTCTGTAAAGGTGAGTGCCGTGCTTTCTCTCGCTTTGCCAGGAATAGGATTTATGCTCTAAATTAAACCCTGGGGCTAAACCGTTACTGCTATTAGCTTTAATAGCTAAACATGACTTCCATTTATTGGCTTTGACTGGTAGCTTAGCAGCACCCATGCTAATTAAACCCGCCGGCCTGTGATTACGCAGCATGTTTCTGAGACACAGGTGACTCATCTGTCCCGCTCCGGCTACCAGCGTTGGGGTTCTAATCGATGTCACTCTGCACATCCTTTGGCGGGATAATAAAGTGTTTTTGCTGAGCAAAGCTACACACCACCAGCATCAGTATTGACCCCTGAAAAACCCACAATGCATTGACTGTGTCCAAGTTGCCACAGTAACAAGCATATAGGAGACATTTGGACAGACCTTCATATCAGGTAGCACGCCTGTATTTAATAGATCTATCTCAAAACGCTCTAAACACGTACTGTAAAGCAATATTAAGGTCATAGATTGTAGCATCAAAGTAGAAGATGAGTTTTTGTTTCCAATGTCAACACAAAAAATATAGCTAAAGGATGTTTTTTTTGTTTTGTTTGGCTGATAAAAGCAAAAATATAAGACAGAGAAAAAAAACTCTTGAGAAGTGGAAAGCTAATAACAAAATGCAGCAAATCACAAGTATCTACAATTTCTAGTCTAAATGCACTTCAGAGATCTTAAAGTCAACAGAAATGGTGTTCCCAACTATAATATGACACATAGAAAAGACTAGAAAAATGATAAGAAAATGTATGTTTTTTTTCCATTTAAATGATATACACTCAATAATGGATTTAGATTTAGACTTTGTACTGTGAATCCAAAGTTAGCAGCCTCAGAATGAGAACAGGTTAGGCTCGAGTCCAAACCCACATCTACGTGATCACTGGTGTAAAGCAAGAGAACTACAGACATTTTCCTGTTGGCTGCCAAATGAAATGAGGCAAAAGAAGTAGGACAGAATGAGCCGAATCTCAAAGATCCACGACACCTGGCCTGGCACAAGCTGTGGCGCCACAGTGATTAGGAGACTACCGCAGATGGGCGGCACAATGCGTGACTTCACTACCTCTTTCATCGGGACAAGACAATGAGGCTTGACGTGCATCAGTTGATCCACAGATTCAAACCATGACTGGAGGATTGTTTTAAATCTGTTTTCTAAACAGCCAGTAATGCTAAACTTTTCATTCCAATGACTTGCATTTATACATATGCAATGTGGGAGACAGGAAATACAAGCTCAGGTGAATTTGGCTGTGTTGGTGAGATCAGCCATGCAAATTCGTATTATTGATACCCTATACTACACTTCATACAGATGTTGCATGAGTTTACACCTGGTGGTAACATCTGTCAGGTGATTACAATGGGCAGTGCAGATGTAAATACAGTCCAAAATTTTCATTTCTGTTAATAAAGCTACTCTCATTCATGACAGAGATTAAAATTAAATGTATAGTATGTATAGTATATATTTCAATATAGGTAGGACTGATTTCTTTGTACTTTTAACATGCAGTACATGAGTGGATACACATGGTAGGGTTTGAAAAAGAAAATAAGGAGAACAACTCTCAGCATGCAGTGTACCCAAATGCTGGGACACTCATGTACATTTGGAATAAGAAAAAATGAAGGAGTATTTCCCAATACATCAGAAGGAACGAGTGTTGGAAGCAAAACATGTCTAGGACAAAATATGCCATACACACCTGAGCTCTTAAAGTGGTCCGGGCTTGGGTGGTGCTGGGAGGGTGAGTTGCAGGTAGGGGTGACGTGCTCGCTTTGCAGCATCTGACCCGTATGGGGACCCAGGGTGGCATAGTCGGCAAAGGAGCAGGGGGCGCCCCGCTGGTCACCGGGCCCAGAATAAAAGCCGTAATCGGGGAACCCTGGGAAATACGCAAAGTAGGGTGAAGCCATCATTGAGAAAAGAGGTGTTTATGATACACAAAGATGAAGTGACTGAGGCAGTGACGTATGTGTGACAGGAAACAATATGAGGGTGAATGATGCCCATGTACACACACTTATACTCAATCTGTTAGTAGTTACACAACTCTATCAGAGATGCTAGCAAAGGTCTAAAAAGAAACCTATAAGTGAACAGGTTAGATATGGCGAATACAGTGATGAATAAAATGTGGTTCAACAGAGCTCAAAAAAGGACGTTAGACATCATTAGCAGACATGAAGATGCTTTGCAATGGCGGAATATGAATGCCTCAAAGGACGTCATTTGACGGCTTCAGCAATGCTGACATTTATAGCTGGTATTTTCAATCCTACGTGTGGGTTTGATATACAGAGGGCATTAAAAGTCTTCATTGGCCTTTCAGAAACAGAAAGACGATCCAATCAAAGAAAGCTGGGATCCACCACACAGGCTTTTCATCTTGCGTCTCCCCTGCTGCATGTTTGCTTTTCATTGGGGTCTGGGACCTGCAGGAGCGTCCTGGAGCCGTGCCGAACATCACAGCGCTGATTATGCCCTCAACAGCTGCCAAGACTAATCTGAAGCTCTAAGTAGTTTCTCTGTCATCAGCTTCGCAACTTTCCCTCACCGTCCGTGGTTTGTGGGCAAAACGCCTGCCTGTCAAATTACGCTCAAGTGTTTGAGGAATGGCACCACTCCAACACCACCTGCTTACTGTAATACATGACTTGAGGAATCGTATTGAGGAAATGTATTCCTGTAATGATTCCAATTACATCTCTGTCTGAACTCAAGCTTCACGTGTAGGATTCAGTGAACACGCACTGTATAAAAACATGTATGCATATAAACATATGCAGATGTATGAATATGACCCTGGTATCTCTGAAACTGCTGAATTTAAAGGGTTAACATATTAAAGGAACAGTTCACCCCAAAAAGAAAAATGTGTCGTCATTTACTCACCCCTCACATCATTACAGAAATGCACAATTTTTTTCTTCTAAGCAACACAAAAGACGACATTTTGAAAAAAAATTTTTTGTTTTGTCCAGACAATGAGGTCTAATATTGTTTATAACCGCAATGACTTTCATTCTATGGGTAAAAACACTCTTCACATTATCTTTTTTTTGTCTCTCAGGTTATAAACGACAGTAAACAATGACAATTTACATTTTTGTCTGAACTATTCCTTTAAACAAAGCTGGTGAGCACCCACAAATCAAATTCTGCAGAAGTCTGTGGCATCTCCTACAGGGTTCTGTGTGGGACACACTGGGGTTGTTCCAGGTCACCGCTAGGCTTCCTAACTCTTTAGCGAAATTGGTCATTTCTGTTCAGAGTCTTTAGGATCTTTCTCTCCCGACCCTGCACTGTTACTCAGGACTAAACTGACTTTCACGCTCGATCTCAACAACAAAAAGAGACCACAACAGCAAAGCAAAGGCCAGAGACACCCTTTTCTTTTCGTAATCCATTTTTTCGACGTGCATTCTAATCGCCAGTCGTCCTTGAATTTTAAAGTGGGTTTTCTGCTCCTCGCTAATTAGACAAGCTTCCGCTGCCTCTTCTGCATTCTCTAATTAGATCTTTAACAACAAACAAGAGTCGACCTCTACACGGATTCCTCCATTTGTTAAATGGCTGAGCAGGGTGTAGGTTGGCAAACGTGCAATGTCCCCCTCCCGCGACATCTTCGCACGCATTCCGCGAGTCGCAGATTGCCAGGACACCACAATGACGGTTTCCTGTTCCATCTGCCTAATTCTACCGATTACAGGATACTGGGAGAGGCAGTACACAAAGCCGACATTCACAAACACAACGGATGTACACAGCTGCTTTGTTTATGCTGACATGGACAATTAGCCCTCAGCTGCACAAGGCGCTCAGTCGGGAAGGTCTTATCTAATAAAGGCAGGGAAAATTACCTTTATTGTTCAGGTAGATTGCCTCTAATGATAGTGGCATCAGTGTAAAAGGATATGAATAAAATGAGGCTGAAAAGAGCTCTTCAGTTGGATGGCAAGACAGCAGAAGCAGCCATTTGGGAGTGAGCCACTGCCTGATTATCTTCCTCTGCCTATTTTCTTTTCAGAGCATACAAATGATTTACTTTCACTTGAGCAAAGGTGAGAAACAGAGAGGGATCGGACAACGCTGCTCTGACATCAAAGTTAGAGAAATAATAGCTTTCCTCTGATTTTTCTCAAACAACACGTTCTCTCGCAGCACGTTGTAGAGGGGGGTTGTGGCGATGTGGGTGTCTGCCGCATAAATGTGTTTAGTCTGCGCAGCACAATATGTGTGCAAATTAACGGACTGCTAATGAACACCAATCGAATGCTGTTTTAGTTGTATGGACATCTGCTGTAGCGCTTCATCAATAACACAATATTCCAGCACATCACCAGAGCTTGATAATTCAGCTGGCAGCATGCTAAAGCTGGAAATCTCTGTTACAGCAGTCTGGGCATACGAGTTAATGAGAACAGCAATACCACTTCATGTGCCATAAATGTGCATTCCAGTTTTAAAAAAGTTAGCAGAAAAAAAGAAAGAAAAGAAAAAAAGAAAGAAAATTACCTTGTCTTTATTGTCTTTAGGTAAACTAACAAATTGAAGAGTGGGTTTAAATCGAATCGGTTTCGAATCTTTACTGCCACATGACCAGAGTCCGTTTAGTTTGATCAACTTTTAGATGAAAACAGGGCCATTGCATTGACTTAGTGCAGGGCATTATGACCGCAAATTTATATCACTGTATTTTTCAAAATTATACCGGTTTCACGGTATATGACGGTATTTTTTTCATGCATGACTGGGTGTTAACCACATTTTCTACTGATTGAGAGAGGAAATACTGCAGTAGATTGACTTATGCAGAATGCCCTATTTTACGGTCATGATGAGTGAATATTATAGAAAAATTCCACACTAAATAGTGACTACACGACCCATTAATACATGTTAACCAGGAGTCACTCTCACTTTACTCCTTAAATCCTGATTTATAATTGCGACATTGATAAAATCAACATGAATCTACACTAATGAGCGGCTATGCGGCGGTTTTGGCTATATTATTTTTTTGTCTCATGCAGTGCACTGCCTGCGTCTGAATAACAAACTAAGTGCATATTAACAGACAAACTATGCTCATATTGCAAGTCATCCACTCTGTCGAAGTCTTCGTAAACATGTCTGAAGATTGTTTCCTCTGCTTGTAAAAAAAAAAAAAAAAAAAAACTGCTGCGGAGCTCGCCCCATTGCAGGCTAGACAGAAGTGCGCATCGAGGGCGCGCTCGCGAGCACGCTTCTTAAAGCTAAAATGACGAATGGGACACCCTACGGTCTCGTGGACTTAACGGACACGCGCA